ACGTATATCACATATCGCGATCTTGAGAGGAGGAGCAGCAGCAGCAGCAGCTTATGTGCATTTGAAGCCATGGCAAACCGATAAGATAATGATGAGGATTAGAGCGATGATGATGCCCAACACGATAAGTTTTATCTTCATGTTCTGGAACCACATCTTCCTCCTCATCGTCGTTCCCTGCTGTCTGAAGTCTTGTGCCTGCAGACGAAAGCAGTGAAGATTTGAGCTCACCAGGCTACCATACTGCTAAATTTAGTAACTAAGAAAATATGCGTATCCAAACCTGAGAGCGGAGGTTCTCTGTTTTGTCAACAAGGATCTCAATTTTCTCCCCGCGATCAAGAACCTGGGAAAGGCAATAATGACAACAGTTAGCAGCACTCAAATACTCAGAATAGCTATATTTATTAATCTTGGGAGTCGTTTGGTTGCCAGTTTAAATACAACTGTAGCAGAAAATATTGCAGGATAAATTTCTATTTCCAATGTTTGATTAGCATCAAGATAGTTGAACATGGTAATTGGACTTCCATTTTGTAGAGTAAATTAAAAAAAATTGCACAACATGTTCTGCAACCAATTTCTTGCTGCAATTCCCAGAAGGAAAAACAGGAAAACAAATGTATAGCATAAGTTTGTGTCCAACATTTGAAGATACGTTCCCTACATCAAAAATTGCTGATATCCAATAGGTTTTGCATCCAACATTTTCTACATGCCATGCCGCATTTACAATTGCAACATGCAAACAAGTTAAAATTTATATTTAAAAGAGTAAATTTTTACGAGTTATCTTGAGAGATGCTTTTAAGTCTTTACCTTCTCAATATTTTCCATCATCACTCCTTTGACTTCAGTAACCTGAGCCTTCACCTTTGCAAGCTTGCTAATCTCCTCAGGGTGGTCCACACAATACTGCATATGTTCTTTCAATTTTGACCTAAAGTGTTGTTCTTAAACAGTCAGAACAGTCGGAAATAATAAAATTAAGAAGTGAGGCACATCAGCAGAGTCTCAGAAGGCTTAACGAGCAAGAAACCAAAGTTACCCAAACTCCCGGTTGAGGCTGTTCGCCATATCTTTTGATGAAATCTTCCTTAACTCTCTCAAGGAAAGCAATTGGAAGTTGTCTGCCAGCAGCTTCAACTGCAACAACACAATAAGCTGCAAAAAAACAAAAAAGGATTAAACAACAAACTCCATTCTTAAAAAAAGTAAAGCATGGATTGTGCATCAAACCATTAGATTTCAATGAGTAGTAAGAAGAGAATTGGTGGGTGAGTTTTTCTTTCTTTCTTTCTTTTTTTGTTCAGAAAGAATTGTCGTCTATTTATGAATTACAACAAAGGATCAAAGGTAACATGTTCTTTAACATTGCAGGAGGCAACAAACCAACATTGTCACTTGCGTGAAATAAAAGGGAGTATGATCATAAAACCTAACTATTCAAAACAAATAAGGGAGAAAAATACTAGTAGCAAATTTATTCATCCTCCTGTATCAATTCAATATGAAAAGATGCCCACAGTTTGCAAGCCTCTAACTATCTCCTAAAGCAATTACATACCCAAATGACTTGTCTCAATTCTCTTTACTTCCATCAAAAACCAATATCTAGAACAGTAAGCTTCTCAAGATGTAGGTAATAAAAATTGCACCACTTCCTACATAACCAGAAGCTTAGAGTCTCTTCATTCATACATTCCCTCCTTTACAAAATATTACTTCTACTTATAGCTCTACCTACATAAGGTTGTCTACATAATACATTGGATGCCATTATCAGAGCACAACTGCAGAAGTCATTTAAAGTATCAGAATAGTTAGTTAGCTACATGCTCTTACCACAACTTACTTGATCCAGAGAAGCAAATTGCTAAAATCATCATTGTCATCGTCATTGCTCCCATTCTCATCATCAATAATGTCTATTTCCAATATGAGGTTAGTATAGGACAAAACTCTATTTCAAAAAGGTTTCAAAGAAAATTTCCCAGGACACTGTAAAAAATACAAAACCCTACAGACAAAACAAAACCTTGAACTGCCCGTGCAATTAAAAAGCTATGAACATCCAATTTACACAGCTGAAACGCTAAATGGATGCTAGATAACTAAGTTCAAAATAATAACATAGCATTAATAGAAGTATATTATATATTTTAAATAAGACGGGTAAAGCCAGTTGCTCCATGCTCACTGTATTTTAAATAAACAAATAACAAGAAGTAGCTACCAACGCCTTAGTTCGGCTACTCATCCTATAATCCTACGACCACCCTAGATACACATGCAAATTCCACCATTCAGCTCCTCCACAATCCCCAAATTATTTGTTTTATGATTTTAACAGTAGTAATTAATTCTCGAAGCTTACAGATATATCTATCAAAAGGGAGAGTTTGCAGCTTTCTAAACACAAAAGAGTAGCTTAAGAAATGATTCTTAGAAGAAATAATTAAGAAATGCTATCTAGAATCCTACCCGGTGTTTTAACTGATACCTAGGATTTGGGCCATAGCCAATACGATTCCTGCAACAAATTATCGCATATCGTTTTTGGCCCATTTGTCCTAATATATCGGTGCAAATCCGATAAAGCTTCCGATTTCTCTGGGTTAAAAATCGCCCGATTTTCTACAATTTCATTCGAAGTGAACCGGTTCATGTTTGGAGGAAAAAACCCTCTTTTTCCCATACCCGATCCGCATCCACTAAACAAAAACCGTGCTATGCTATTCTATTCTACATCTGCTCATCGTGTAAGCTTAATTCTCTCTGCCTCCACTGTTCTCTCCCCCAAATCGCCTACAAATTTCTCACTAGAAGACCTCTATCGACAACCTCTCTCCGAAGACCCTCGTCGATATTTCATTAAATGCGCTTAGATTACATTTTAGAAAATATATTAAAAATGCTCACCGCCTGACATGATACTTCGATTTTTACTACTTATCCCCAATATACCTCCGATAACCGGGATCCGATATGAATTTTGGTCATCCGATATATTTCCGATAACCGATATTTAAAAAATGGACAGGAAGTGCTAAATATCACTTCATTTTTTAAAAAAGCAATTTTCACATCTCCATACCCTTTGGCTGATGAATCAGCACAAGCTACAAGATTAGCTCAAGGATCATACCCGTCAGAAGCAGTAACGGACTAACAGGCCAATATTTTTCCACAATAAAAGCAATCAAACAAAATTTGAGGAGAATGCACCCCAGTCACAATTCTATGAAGTAATTAGGGAGTATATCTTCATAAAGAGCAACAGAATTCTCGGATCTGCCCGCATAAACCCTAGGCCTGACGCAAACCGCTGCAATCGAATCGAACAACTAAGAATCGATGCACCAAACAAAAAGTCACAAGATCACATCAGAGCGGTCGATAGATCGATCAGGTCAAGAACCGGTCAAACAAAATCTAAAGCAAATAGATCGAGGGACTCACTGAACCCGTCGTCGACGAGGTAGTTGAAGGTGTGGCCGTCGCAGTTGTAGGTGAACTTGTTGCTGGTGGCGGGGAGCTTCTGGAGGCACTGAGACGCGACGCCGGTGAAGTTCCCGCTGAACTCGGTGAACTCCGCGAGGATCGCCGTCCCTCGAGCCACGAAGCTGTAGATCAACTTCTGCTGCCCCATCCCAAAAAAACCCTAACCCTAGATCTCGAAGAAGAGGAAGAAAGAAAGGAGAAGGAAAGGCGCAAATGAAACCGATGAAAGAAGCGGAGAGGTTTATAAATGCGCTTTGGGGAATTTTGGAGGGGGGGAATTGCAAAACTCGTCAAAATCAGGAGAGCGGTCTTGAAACGGAAGCTGCTGCTGCTTTTATTGCTGGGAAAGTTTGTTTCGTGAAAACGCCTTTCTTAGCCGCTGAAATTGCGAAACTGCCATTGTCGGCGTTTTTTTTTATTTTTCAAAGATTATTGAACTCTTCAATATTTGAGGCTTCGTTCGGCGCGTTTTGGGCTGCTAAGACTGATGTAAATTATCTCGTATAAGTCATTATGAGCATATAAATTCGAATATGATATTACTTTATTTTTAAAATTCGGCTAAATACCTATATTAATATTTTAATTCCACCACATTTATCAAGAAGGTATTTTAATTAGGCAAACATATTTTAAGTCATTTTAATTGATTCAACTTACCAACAAGACCATTTTTCTCGTCGGCGACCAGTTTCCCGGCGAGAGCTCGTCACGTGCGTGGCATGCGATGACTTAAACTGTTTTTTAGCTGCTGATGTGGCACGGATCTGTCCTATTTTGGGTGAATTAGGATTTTTAGAGGGTTAATTCCTGCCTTTAAACACTGCCACGTCAGAAAATCCGTGCCACAAAACAGTTTAAGTCATCACGTGCCACGCACGTGACGAGCTCTCCGATGAAAGAAGCGGAGAGGTTTATAAATGCGCTTTGGGGAATTTTGGAGGGGGGGAATTGCAAAACTCGTCAAAATCAGGAGAGCGGTCTTGAAACGGAAGCTGCTGCTGCTTTTATTGCTGGGAAAGTTTGTTTCGTGAAAACGCCTTTCTTAGCCGCTGAAATTGCGAAACTGCCATTGTCGGCGTTTTTTTTTATTTTTCAAAGATTATTGAACTCTTCAATATTTGAGGCTTCGTTCGGCGCGTTTTGGGCTGCTAAGACTGATGTAAATTATCTCGTATAAGTCATTATGAGCATATAAATTCGAATATGATATTACTTTATTTTTAAAATTCGGCTAAATACCTATATTAATATTTTAATTCCACCACATTTATCAAGAAGGTATTTTAATTAGGCAAACATATTTTAAGTCATTTTAATTGATTCAACTTACCAACAAGACCATTTTTCTCGTCGGCGACCAGTTTCCCGGCGAGAGCTCGTCACGTGCGTGGCATGCGATGACTTAAACTGTTTTTTAGCTGCTGATGTGGCACGGATCTGTCCTATTTTGGGTGAATTAGGATTTTTAGAGGGTTAATTCCTGCCTTTAAACACTGCCACGTCAGAAAATCCGTGCCACAAAACAGTTTAAGTCATCACGTGCCACGCACGTGACGAGCTCTCGCCGGAAAGCTGGTCGCCGACGAGAAAAATGGCCTTGTTGGTAAGTTGGATCAATTAAAATGTCTTAAAACAGGTTTGCCTAATTAAAATATCTTCTTGATAAATGAGATGGAATTAAAATACCAATATGAGTATTTAGCCTTTAAAATTCATATTAAATTCTAACAAAATGAGTAAGGATTACTTTTACAATCCAATGAAACAAGCAATGCTCTCATCTTTATCCAAATAAGACAGCGTCATAGAATAAATTAGGAGGCGTTACTCATAAAGGACAACTGTGTAGATATGACAAAGGACAGAGGCAAACTTTATTTAATGGGTAAATAAAATGAGCATAGCCTGTATCAATTTTTAGGCGCTTTCGGAGCGCCGTTGGTGAGGAGTAGCGTTTAATAAAAGAAAGCAGAGAAGAGTAGCTAGCCTTCCTTCTTTTTATTACTTTTTTTTTTCTTCCTCTAAAAAAGAAAGGAAAATATTAGTGACAATGGTTTTCTTAGGGTTTAAGCAACGTTTTCAAAATTAAAACGCTGCACCTTTTGCTCATACGAGACAATGAAGTTTGATCCGATGAGTTATGGACAGGTTGGAATCCATATCAAAAGGCAACCGCTACCTTTCTCTTACTTTTCACCATCAGCAACGGTGCAGCGGCCTCCAGGATAGCTGCCACGCTCCACCAGGCGGCTATCGACCTTGGTCTCCAGGATTTGGCCAATGTAGCATTAGGAGATGCGGTTGGAGAGAATTTCTAATATTCTCGCCTTCCTTTTGTAGTGTGTTTTCTATTCTATCAGCGGAAACAGTTACATGTATATTTTAGACGTAACCCTTGCAGAATTGACTCGGTGGGTGACGATAAGGTCCGCTCCTCACTGGGCAACTCTACTCTTGGTTCCTTCGATCCTTGATTTTTTTTGTTAATTTTGTAACTATCTTCTTTCAACACACACACACATATATATATATGAGTGCTGCTACGAGTACCCAAAATATAGGACCAATGGAGAGGACATGTGAGGTGTCCGCTCCCTATTGCATAATGAGTTGGGCATACCAACTCATGGCCAACTTATTATGCAATAGGGAGGGAACACCTCACATGTCCCCTCCCTTGGTCTCATATTTTGGGTCCTTAAGTCATTTTCCGGAAAAAAAAAATCTTGTAGTCTTTCTAGAAAAAGCATACATAGAAGCAAAACATGATATGAGTCTCGCTGGTAATTTAACATCAATACAATCTATAGTTCAAAAATCAATATGATAGTAATATTATAACAATAATGCGTTATTTAGTTTTACTTCAGTAATAGTACATCAGTACATTTTCCAGCTTTTCCACGCCTCACACTGCCAAGAAATACATTGAAAAAAAAGGCAACGAAACAAGACTTGAAGAGCGCATTGATCTCCATAAGAATAGAAGGCTGCCCAACTTTTTTACATAATTATACATATATGCATGATTATATAGACAGAACAGCTCCGAGGCGGAGATAAAATAACACATTAAGATCATCTTCAGTCTTGGAGGAGGCGACACGAAGAGAAATTAGCCTACAAATTTAACTAGATTCAGCTTGGTAGCTCTCATTATTGATTATGAATGAGTAGAGGGGATCGGTCGCCTTTTATGCGACTCTTTCAAAAGCACCACCAACTTGCATATGTAGCCATTCTGAGGCTGATCCTTGATCGTATTCCCTCGGGGCCTGCGAGCCTGTGAAGGCCAAACTAGGAGTATTGTATGCCTGTGCTACAAACTGATGTAAAGAAAAACGAGAGAGAATAAAATGTTAATAAAAGTAATCGGTACTACATGCATGTGGTCCAAACTGAAATGATGAAATTTTCAAAAAAATAAAATGCTAGCAAAACTAGTCAGCTGACTGAACAGATATAAATCCAATGATATTTGCATGCTTTCAGAAGTAAGTTAATTCAGCAGGCCCGCACAACATCATATGTGATCCAAATCTCAGTGTTCCTAGCTAGAGAGCTTGATTCCATAACAACCTATATCGTGATTCGCGAAAAAATGGAAAATAAAATTTCATAAATTAAGCGTATGGATTAAACCCTTTGACTGTGAAAGATCTTCGAGCAATTTCATGACTAGATTAAGAAGCAAGGTTACATAGATCTGAAAGTTAAGCATATCTGGAATGAGCAATGAAATTCCTTGAGCACCCAGGGACATGCATTCAGATCATTTGGCTTACCTCTTTAGGAGGAAACCCTTCAATTCCAGGATTCATCCTGGAATTTACAGCTTCAAGCTTCATTGATAACCTCTTTAGGAGGAAACCCTTCAATTCCAGGATTCATCCTGGAATTTACAGCTTCAAGCTTCATTGATAGGAACTACAGAAGGCATTAAGAACGACGATGGATTCATCCTGGAATTTACAGCTTCAAGCTTCATTGATAGGAACTACAGAAGGCATTAAGAACGACGATGTTCAGTTACTGAAAACAAGTGAGAACCATGGAGTTCATCAAGAACTACAACGACACACACCTCAACCTGACGCTGCAGTGCCTGGATGTAATTTATAATCTCGTCCAGAACGGACGCTTTTCCAATTACCTGCTTATGAGCACTATCTTGATAAGTGCATTCTTCAGGATTAAATAGCATTTGAGAACAAAGAAATATACAAATATGTAGAGTAATCAAAAGTTATCTTTCCTTTTTTTTAAGAAGATCAAACATGAGCATACTTAATAGAGCACCTTATTACATCCAGGAACCAGAGCTTGAAGAAATTTCATCCGCTCACTGATCTTTTCTCGCCTAGCCTGTTCACGAATAAATTAGTCAAAGAGATGGTTAAATTCAGTGGTTCAGCTGTACCTTTCACCTGAAAGTAATCTCTATGCTATAACTCCACAATCATATGCTGAATAGTACAAAGAGCCAGTACATCTATATAACTATAATTGACAACCCTGCATAATTTCCACAAATGATAAGTGAAATAACACAGATGTTGTTTCTGTTCTTACCCTCTCCGCAAGACTATGGCTGTCTGTTGCTTGACCCCTTCTTGCTCTCACGTGGATGTAATCTTGCTTAGGTGCTTCTGAGGGGTGAGTGTTTGAATCTGCTGGCTTGTTACATAATCCCGAACTTGCCTCTGCATCAATTTTGGACTCACTATTTTCATCTCTAGATTTCATCTTCTTGAGACGCTTAGCTTCACTATCTGTCTGCTAACAGTAAAAAGCAAGATCATTAAATATTATAGTACAAACGCACAAGTTCAAGTGTTCTGAAACATGATCATCTAAATAAATTACAGTCAACAACAGTGATAAAACAGATAATAGGCAAAGCATGCATGCTGTGATTTGTGTAAAAGGAATGAGGATGAACCTCATGAAGCGCTGCATATTTCCTTGACGATAAAAATACATGATACACGATAATAAATACAAATAGTCAAATAACTAAATTGGGGATGATTATAGAAACTCCCATAAACTCTACTCCAAGATTATCATCCCCCTAAACAATAATATTAACAAATAGTAATAATACTATAATAGTAACTAAAAATAAAATTTTATTACTTATACCTCTCAGTCCATGAACCCTACTACCACAATTAACTAAGACCTCTGATCATATTTTCAGCCTGTTGTATAAAAAGAAGTTCAAATGAAATTGACGAACGGGGGAAGAGAATGATGAGGAAGAGTCTTGAATAATGAGGGAGAAAAGAGAGGACAAGATTCAAGAAAGCGCTAAGATCATGAGCCTAGTAGCCTCCTATACGAACATCTTTTTACCATCTAAGTTTCTCTCTTTATAACCTTGTACGTTTACCTTAACCCTGATGTCCTGAAGTTCATTGACCCCAAACAAGCTTCGTCATCTTATTTTACACATGGGTCCTGTGAGGCATTTGAAGCTTTTTGGTTATTGACAAATGAAAGTTATCAATATCAAAATTGGATATTGAGAACTACACGAGCTATTTTGCAGATTGAAGTGCCCTTCACCACCATTGAAGGGACTATTGAGATCTTTGGATTTAAGTAAACTTCCGGACTCATTAGCTTCTCGCCATTTTTGAACATGGTCCCAAAGGTAACATAAGCAAATAAAGGGAGAAAGATAGTAGCTCTTGTCAGCTTCGCAAATGATCAAAAAATAAGAAAATTAAAGGCTAAGGAATATTTTATTTGAGCTCCCTCTTCCATCTTAGAGGATTTGCTTTCATTTTAAATTTTTAATTCCCCATGCATGGCCCTTACTGTCTTGGTCCGAGAAAGAAAAAATAAACAAACAGAGAGCCCAAAATCACACACCAGGAGACTCAATTGACTTGTGCCAACGCAAACTACTGTTCAAGATTAATCAACATCTTTGCTGGTGTTTATGGTAAACTTCATTGTGTAGGAGTTAAAACAGATAGGGTTATTGGTGGATATATCCACATCCATAACTAAATGGATGAAGAAACAAATATTAAATATTCATATGGACGAGGATACATAGATGGATATCATTATTTTATTTTGATAAAATATAGATATTTATATATATTCAGATATCTATATGAATTAGATTGTTGAGATTATGCTGGCCTTAAATTAGTGAATTGGAAGTCAAGTCTCATGATCCATGGGTGTTTCGAACATATAGGTGCGCTCTGATTTGAACTTTTTTAATCTAGATATGCTATTGTATCACATGGTCTATATATTTTTCCACCTTATATGTTTTTCTCCTATCCAATATATATTTGCATTATAATTCCTCCGATCCAATCCATGCCTATATCCAATTTTGACAAATAAAATTTTCCTTGTTGAACTATATTCATATTTTTATCCATATTAGTGATTAATAAACTTAAAGACATTCATATGATAGATTCCATATTTAATCTATATATTATCGGTTGCACCCTAGGTTCAATATAAGAAAGTGCGAAGGACATGCATTAAAAACTTATAGAAACCTCCCCTAGTTCAGAGAATGAACTATGATATCATAGCATATTGAGAGCTAGAAAAGACAATCTTCTTATATAAACCATAAAAGTATATAGATGAAGCTCAGCAAGGTATATGTAGAGAGCAAAGTAGTAACAGTGTTCAATTCTGTAATAACTATTTCTGGTAGTTCAATAAAGAAGCAATTTGACAACATCAACCAGAATTAGAAAGTTCCTTATTTTGATTAGTCCAAATCGTTCTCTAGATTCACCAAGTAAGAAGGACTTATGAGCAAGTTCTAATGGCTTTGTCACGTCACTGCAAATCAGCCAAACCCAACCCATTAAATTTCCTATTTCTGCACATAAATATCAGTCTTGTCTCCGACTTAAATCTCTCCTGTGATGTCTTCTCCCAAATCGTCTGTCAATTTGTATGACCACCTTGGATTGGATTTCACTTGACTGTCTACAGCTCCATTGCGTGTGCTTGGGGTGGAAGCTCCCTTATGCCTTTGCACTCAAGGGCCAATCTCCTTCCGGCCCGAGGAAACCTTTGCAGTTTGCACTCCATCTTTAGTCCTTTTGATGTGAACCTGAGCCACATTAACAGTACCTCATTCAGTTGATTGAATTGCTAACCCACCAACTTGTAGTGCACTGTAGCAATCAATTACAACCTCAGACCTCTTGTTGAAGCTTCACTGTCATCAATTTTCCATTCTTATAATCTACCCAATCCTACCTACATTAACCGACATAGCACAAAAACCATACATTGTCCAGATCAAGCAGTCTTGAAACTATAAATTAGTAATGTTCTTGCAAATTAACACAACCTGAAGTCTAGTAGCCAACTCTTCAACTGTCACCGTCCTGAAAGAAACCAATTTTGTCGTTGTACAAACCATATTGAGCAGTTAATATCACTATAGAGACATGATCTGATAAAAAAAACTAAACAAGTTTAATCTAATCCACTTCAGTTCCATATAATAAAAAAAATATTTTTACTGTCTAGTATAGATCAACAAGTTACAATCAAAACCTAATGATTACTATCCTAAAATACAGTTACAGGTTTTATAGTC